CACTCTAAAAAGTCCTCACTCCTCGGTGGGTCTTCAAATTTAGACATTGTAAAGTTTGATACACACAGACAAAGGTAAAAGAGTAAAAAAAAGTTGCAGAGTAAAACTGCCACTAGAGAAGGCAACATTACTACAGCCAACCTGGGCAGCTTTTATATATAACACAATTCTCTAAATCTCCCTTTTCTTTCTTCTTCTTCTAATACACAGAATCATCAGGAAAGGTTTGTTAATCTCCCACCTTCTCATTTTCTACTCAAACCATTTTTCATCTTCTTCTTTTTTAACTTCTCGGCTTGCTGTACAATTTCATTCTTAGAATACAAAGGCTTAAGATGAATTTCCCGAACCTGAGGAAGATGATATATATCGTGGATCTTCTTCTTCTTTTTTTGGGCTCTTTATTACTTGTTTTGCTTTATTCAAATTATCATTGGATCATCCATCGACGACACCATCTGTGCCTCTGCTGTTTCCCCGGTTATCCGCTCCACAGGCATCACCTCATCTGCACATGTATATATATATATATTGTAATAAAGCCGTATCTGAACATGCAAAAAGGCAAACGAAAGAAGCATGGATTTTGCCAACAATGAAGACATAGCCTACCTGGTGATCGATCCAGAGACATTGTTCTTGCCATCTCTACAGAGTTGGTAAAGAAATGAGTCAGATTTACTTAAAACAGATACGAAAATCCAGGCAACAAGGTTCGAGATTAAAAATGATTTAATAATAGTATGGGATTTTGAATGTACCAAGTGAATGACGCAGCCCTTTTACAGCATCAAAGTTCTTGTATGTGTAGCCAACAAAACTTAAATCCTTGGGAGCAATATGCTGCAAAAAAAAAAAAAAGGAAAAAGGATGTGTCACTCAAAAGTGTAACATCCAAGGAAAATAGGTTTCAGTTTCACAAGAAAATATCTACGAGCAACAACATTTGATAATGGTTTTTACATTACTATAGTTTGGGGTATCGACATCCATTCACATATCCATGCAAAGAAACCCGCTGTATAATGTATAAACTAATAATAATTACAAACCTTCCTGGAGGTACCCGATCTAGTTCTTTCAGGTGCAGGAGAATTCACCTGAGATGATATCAAGAAATTGGGTAAGCCCCTCACCTATGATAAGTAATATTACACAAGATTCTCTCAAAATATTATCTTGTCCCCAAAGGATTATCCTAAATGGATCAAAGAGGTTACTCTACATCAATACGAACTTTCTGCAAACTATTGGCATACAAATTCCTAGGTAATAGATCAATTCACATAACATCCACATATTTGCTAGATAAGGCAGTATAAATAGAAACTAACGGGTATGATCTGCAGGATGACTGGTACAATGCAAAATAAGATAAGAACAAGTCGCATTAGACTGAAACTTAGGAAATTCTAATTGATGTAGAGCCTTAATACTGGTATAAGTTATGATCGCTTTTAAAGTAATATGAGGGTAGACTAATTTCCCAGAAAACATTTTTCAAATAATGCAAGAAAATGGAAGAAAGAATTTACGGCATACTTCATCAAACTTCATAAAGTTTTGTGTGTCAAGTTCGTCATTCACTTCTGGTTTGTAAGCAGCCTCCATTTCATAGAGCTTCTCCCACACAACATCCTTGAACCAAGGATGTTCCTGATGCAAATTTAAGGTACAAGTTAATAAAGAAAAAAGACATAGCTTATCACAAGCACTACTAAATCTTCTCATGGAACATCCTTACCTTGATTTGCTGGGCTCCTCCTCCAGTGCCAAGTCTATGGTCAACGTTGCACAGCAATCTGCAGACAAGATCTTTTGCCTCGGATGACAACTTAGCATCCTCAGGAAACTTCAAATGATTTCTCCAATGGACGATCTAGCAGAAAGAAATTAAGACTTCATGAACGTGATCACCGAATCTTACAAAGAAAATGACTTTTTTTCTTTTATGCATCCACAAACAACTAATACAAAAGAAATTGACTACGGAAATTTAGCCAGCAATCAATGCATAGTTGTCAAAATTATATGAAAAGAATGAACATGAGATTTAAACATTTTGCTAACTCGGACACCAATAACTGGCAAAACTGTGGCCTTTCAAATAACTTGACACCTTATTCAGTTCAGTAGGACATCAGTCAAATTCTTTAAGGTCGACTGTTTGAAACTTTGCACAGAGCAAACTCACTGGGATAGTGAACATAGCAGCAAAATGTAATACCTTTCTGCATGTCGATATTGGGTCATCTGCATAAAAAGGAGGATACCCAACGAGCATTTCGTACATAATTGCACCTAATGACCACCTAAGAGACAAGAAAAAGATTTCATGTTATGGAAAAACTGCAGAATCACAAATGACAAAGACTTTTATCAACCTTACAAATGGTTTCTACTGAGAAATTTAAACAGCTAAAGCACTATCAAAAGAGGATGAAGGCATGCACCATTGTAATAGTTCATTCTGAAAATGATAAAAAAATAATTTTAACAAAATAACTAACCAATCACATTCCATGCCATATCCTTTCTTCAACAAAACTTCAGGAGCAATATAGTCGGGTGTTCCCACAGTCGAAAATGCCTTTAAAAAAGGATAAACCAATCAGAGAGCGTATCGCCAGTCATTGCCATGAAAATTTATAAACGGACAGTAGAGGTGATAAAAGTTTTAAAAGTGTTCTCATCCAATATGAAGAATATCCCATGTTTAGTTTCACTATTTCCCATTTCAATTTGTCTATCTACATGTTTAGGTCACATTTGGTATATACAGGAATCATAGAAATAGAGATAAATCTACAATAGAAGGGGAGAGGAGAATTTTCTACTCCAACAAAAGAACAACATACTAGTTTTCTGCGATTCATTTGCCAATGCTGAAGTTGTTCCTGGGGACTGCGCCAGCTTCTTTTGTTAACAGTGTCGGGAAAACATCCATCAACATCCATAGGTTCTGTAATAGCTTCATCATCGGTGGCCCTATTCTCCTGAATTGAAGGTAAAGTTCTACAATCAAGAGGCTTACAAAGCCCAAAGTCCGAGAGTTTCATGTGTCCATCTTTATCCAAAAGAAGGTTGTCAGGTTTGATATCCCTGCAAAGAGAGTGAAAAAGCAAGCAAGGTCAATCACTGTTTGCACCAAAAGCTTGCAAACTAGGTAATTTCCAGAACCCACCTGTGAATGTAGTTGTATCTGTGTATGGATTCAATGGCCAGGACACTTTGAGCAATATAAAATCTGGCAACATCTTCTCGTAATGTATCCTCCCTCATTAGCAAAGTCATCATATCACCACCAGGGAGATATTCCATAATCAGATATAAATACTCAGCATCCTGAAATGAGTAGTAGAGTTTCACTATATAATGGCTTGCAACCTCAGCCAGCAGGTTTCTCTCTGCTCTGACATGTTCCACCTACATAATGTACACTGATTTAATCAGAAACTGGAAGAGATAGGCCAGGTACGTAAGCTCATAGAAAACCATAATCATAGTCAGTTTTTTACTATAAAGGAGAATACAGTATAATAAGCATGCTTGTTATTTGATATGTTGGCGAATGCCTACATCTTAAAATCAAGCCATGTGTTTGAGCTCTTGATTAAACTAATAGAAACTTAACACATGACGGCCAATATCCTTTACTTTTCAACATACTGTCATCAGATACACAAAAGAAAAACACATGCATTCACCAGATTTAAGCAGACTACACTATAAGCTGGCAAGCAGAGAAAAGATGATGCCAGATATCATTACCATCAAACTCGTAATGACAAATAAGATTAACTCTAAGCTCTACCGAGCAATAGTAACCAAGGGAGTTTACGAATTATAAGCACACTATTCCAATTGTTTGCGAATTTTACCTGTCCTCTCATGACCATTTCAGATTTCTTTAACTTCTTCATAGCATAAATATTTCCAGACTTTCTCTCTCGACATAAGCGAACCTGCAAGTTAGTTTAAGTAGTACCATAATCATTATTAATGAAAGGATCCAAACAAAAATGTATCCCGGTTAAGTTGTGTATGCTCGAGCTGCAAGAATGTGTAAGAAAATAAAAGGCACAGATAGTATTCTGTCTTACAAACCTCACCAAAAGCACCTCTTCCGATGATTGTCAATAGCTCAAAGTCATCAACACTTATCTTGTTCCTTTTAAGCCTCATAAATTCTGTCTCCTTTCTCTCCAGATCTTTAATCATGTTGATCTGCTCCTCCTTCGGCACTCCAGAAGATGCTAACTTTCTTTCCAAGATCCACCGTCTGCAAGAAACAAACAATGCCAGTTACACAAAACAAGCAGCTTTAATGGTTCTAATAGTGTAATACAGAAACTATAATGGCTCCATTACTCTTTCTTGTTAAAACAGAAAATGTTAAAGCTAAGCAATGGATCAGACATGAATATATTCTTAAGAAAAGCAAGAAGAAATTTGTTGCAAGAAGAAATTTGGTTGCTTCACACAGAATTCACCATTAAAACCGAGTTTTTTTTCTTCCCTTAGCCACCAAATGACTAAAACGTTGGCAGTACAACAAAGAGAAAACTAAGGGATTCGCGGGACAAGGTAAAAGAGCTAATCAAACTCACACAACTAATTTTTGCCCTAAACCAATCTCTCCAAAATCAAAAACGACATTCCAAATCTCAAAATCTTTCTAAAATTGAAAAAAAACAAAGACGATTAGAGAAAAACGAATGAGACAAGAGACAGAGACAATTCGTACCTCTCTTTCCTCTCCTGAATGTTCTTGTTCTGAGCTCGGTAGTGATTCTCGATGTACTGCTTCGCAGCCGCCACTTTCTCCATGGTCAAGCTCGATCCTAACA